AACTCGCGTAAAAAGCGGCCGATCGCGACGAAACTTTCAGTACCCTCGCATTGATCAATTTGACACCTACCCTGAAAATTTCATGACCCTGACCCAAATGACCTTGACCTGTGACCTCTTTTGCGAGACCATGTTTGGCCGGAATCGCGATTCGGCGTATGTCGGCTCGCATTAGCCGCGCGTTTGCAACCTTCTCGTGGTTTCAAACGTTCAAACATGTGATTTGATGCTGCTCCCATACATAAGGGTGGGTGTCAAGGTCACCTGAAGGTCAGGTCAGGTCATTGACCTTTGGTGACCTCGGGTGACCTCGGTTCACTTTTTCGAGTTTTACTTGTTTCTAGGCTAGTTTTTGGAGCTGAATTCGAATTTAGCAACCATTTGAACATTTACGAAGTAGTTTTGGTGCCTTCGTAACATGTTACGAAGCTGTCAGAGGCGGTTGACACGTATTACGAATACCCGTCACAACCCCTACCGGTTGACCTGACCTGACCTGACCCGATCTGGTCTAAATGCTTCAAGACATCATCTCTGATCAAAACTAACACGATATTCGTGATCAGCACCCCGGAAAACCACATGACAGCCACACTTTACGACTTTCTAACAGGTCCCGATTTTCCCGGTTTTCGGGTCATTGACCTGACCTGGAAGGTCACCCGATGACCTAGGACCTTAAAATTGGGTATCATCGGCTTCCTCTCGTGACGGGCAACACGCTCGTTTTTTCCGCGAAGCTCTAGCTCGACCAGGGGCCTGGGGGGCCTGGCCTGTGCCGGCGAGGGTTAAAGGTAGTGTGCCAGCTTTCCTGGGCCGTATGGAGTTCATGGCCCAGATAAGGAGAACCGGATTTTTAGAACTTATCCATACCTTCAAAACTCATGGAAACGTCTTAAATTCTTCAAATTTTGAGTACCCCAGTGCGAAATTCGCCCCGACGGGTTGTCGGTCGTACCCCAACCACATTTCACACCACTATGAACAATAAATGCACACACTGAAATCGCTATTACCGATATGCTCATCCAATCAAGTTTCGATAAACCCGTTCATCATCATCTCCTGCGGTTTCGAACACGCCTGTTAGGTGGTGCGGTAGACCGCGCCCAAAGCCAGGGCCCCGGTAACGTGAGGTAGCCGAGTCGGGGCAGCGTGCGCTGACCCAAGCCGGGGCCGCGCGTCCTCCCGGTGTCATGTGATAGCCCGGGGCTGCCCGCGGGGATGCGGTAGACCGCGCCCAAAGCTGCGGCCCCGGCTTGGGTCAGCGCACGCTGCCCCGACTCGGCTACCTCACGTTACCGGGGCCCTGGCTTTGGGCGCGGCTTCTGCTCATACTTTGTGGTGCGGTGGTGGTGCGTCAGGCCGCGCGCTCTGACTTCGGCCAAGAAAAATGCGTCAGCTGATCATTGTCATTTCTGCCACTTGCGTGTGGTGAAATGGGGTCATAACTTAAGAGACGGCTTTTTCATATCAATTATTTTACATAAAATCATATTTCAAACCATAAATAATGTTCGACAGCCAAATAAAAGAAACAATACCAATACAGGCTTACATTGTGTTGTCTACGATTAGACAGCTGATAACTCATTCCCGTACGTCGTAACTCTATAATGACCTTTGCTTATTGTCACATGTGCGCCGCATTCGCGATTGTTGCCGACGCCTGTTTGCAGGTCAGCCCACTACAATTGTTATACATATCGAAAAACCGATAAACTTTTAGGCGAAAAAGGCACTATTCCACTTTCCAGGCCCATTTTTGATTTTTTTTTGCGATATTAGGTAAAAACAGAAGCTTCTTATCCTAGGAAAAATAAAATGGGAAATCTTTCAAAGGTGGCACACTACCTTTAGGCTGATAGGCAATAAGAACAAATAGTAAAATATGCTTCTTTAGTATCTTTTTTGTCAAAACAAGATGCTCTAAATATATCATTGGTAGTTTCTTATAATTCACTGCCATCATCTGCAGTCTGCACCCTACCATTTCAACTGAAGGCCTTCCATACCTACCAAAGTCCATTTTATCTAGCTGAGTTCATGCACATTGGAAGCTTTAATGACTTGATACCTACAATGTGACAGACAGTAGACACTGTGACAACAGCCAATGTATAACCACTTGTAGTTGTTTCCTGGTTAGGTACTTTCTCCCCGTAGGTATATGACATATTTAGGGCTGAAACTGAAAGCCTAACCACTTCAAGAAAATAATTTAAAAAATGATATTTGAATCAGAGAATGAGAAAACTTACCCCCAGCAGCGCATTTCTCAACATCTGCATGATGGGCGAGATGTCTCTGTGTTCAACACGTGGCCTGGGAGGCATGATCTCGGCTTACTTTGGCCTGAAAAAGAAAGTAATACATGTAAGTAAAGGAGCTGTAGTTCTTAAAAAATATACTCCATATAAAAACTTAATTTAACATAACTAAACACACGTCATAATATAACAAAATGAAATTACCTGAAACCATCTAACCAGCCGTTACCGAATATCCTTACTCCTTATCACAAGCAAAACTTAACTAAAATATATGATATGCATATTAAATGCAGCTTATTAAGTGTGTAATTGTGTAATTAATTTTTTAGTAAAAAACAAACGAGAAAAACATCAACCTACCCCCAAAAAACAAAGCAAAATAAATAATTACAGCCAAACTTATCAAAACTATTACGTCTATAAAGCGCCGTTTTCGCAACGATACGAAAACTTCCAAATTGCTACCAACTTTAAAGGATTCTTCCCACGAACCAAAAACCGTGCTATTAGAAATCAGAATCGTTCAACGACTTAGCGCGTCATGCCCAATGCCCATTGTCCAAAAATACAAAATATCAATGATGGACTTTAGTAAAGCTCACATCTCTCACGAAAAAACAGCAGCACTCATCCTCTTTGTAGCATGGCAGGTGGGCATACAGATTACAGTGGCCCAAGATCAGGGTTACTTTTACAGGAAAAGTTGAGAGGGGGAATAAAGTTCGGGGCAAAGGCGGATCCAGGGGCATCTGAAAGGGGGGTGGGCGGCAATACCATTAGGTTTTTCGTTAGGATGGAGCCCGCAGAACCTTACCTACCCCCAAATCCTATTCTTTCCTCGGGTTTCAGCCACTTTATTTTGGAAGGTTGCCAAAAAATAATTTTGCTAAAAAATATACGCACCTACCTTGGCTGTAAGGGGCGGGGGAAGTCCCAACTTGACTGCGCCCTTGCAAATGCCAATCAGTAGTATCAACCTATCAGTGGTATCAATAACTAGTAGGTATACCCCGGCCAAACATTAAGTAACGCCTTTCTAAAGAGAGAGGTTAATCCGCGCCCTGATTGGAGGTCATTTTGGCCCCCATGTGGGTTTTCTTGAAAAGCGAAAAACGGCGGCGCGCAGCGCCGCCAAATTTTTAGTACCTTACCGGGCATCAATTTGAAACCTTCGCACAAAATTTCAAGTCTTAGGTCACCTTAGGTCAGGAGTAATTGATGTCAAACTGTTCGAGCAAAAATGGGCAAAAAACATGAAATTCTTAAACGCTCACAAAAGCTACAGTTAACGAGCAATTCCAAAGTTCTTTGTGTGGTCGTGTATGTAGAGAAACGACGGCGCTACAAAACTGCAACCTCTACAACTACAAGGTGGGCAGTGATATCCGAACAAAAACTAATGAAGCACAAAACTTGAATTATTACTATTAGTATTAGTGAGCAGTGAAAGTTCCATTGGGAAAGCCGGCTGTGATGAGGTACTTTTTTTGCGCCCTGCTCTGCATGCAAAGCAGATGAACGTGAATGCTGCATAAAGAGAAAAGTCATTTATTACTCAAAGCTTTGATGCCTATGGGACAAAAATAACGTTGTTTTTCCTTCAATGATTCCGGTTTGGAGGATGGTTAAACACGGCCATTGTCATATTGGGACAAAAATTTTAGATGTCTGGCCTTGGCGTCGATGAAAAAGTGAAAATAATCGTGAATAAATGGGTCGTTTCTGAGAAAGAACACAGAATATAAAAGGGGGTCCAAAAGGGGGTCACCTTCTTTTTGCGTCAAAGGAGGGGCCATGGCCCATTGCCCCCCTCCCCCTGTATCCACCCTTGGTTCGGAGAGGTAATCCCGTCCCCCGCCGGTTTCTACGCCGACGCCTGTACCGATATGTCAGTGATTGCGAAAAGACGGAAGAGACAAGACAAGAGACGGTCCCACCGACTATCCGATCGGTATCGGGTCAAATCTGGAGTTCCTGCTGCACTGAACGTAAAATGGTTGGATGGAACCGAAAATTGAAAATTAATAATTATCTTAACGCCAGCAACGTTGATTGATGACGAGAATCTGATTAACGATGACTATAGAATCTGAATAGCGAATTGATTGAAAATGGGCTCCAAAATAAATTTGAAAGGGGGAAATTCCCCCTTCCCTCCCTAGCCGTTCAGACACGATTTGAAAGGGGGAGCGGAATTTTCGAAGGGGGGAAATTCCCCTCTTCCCCCCCTTTAAAAGTAACCCTGCCCAAGATTCCTATACATACAATGGCTATGGCATATGACAGATTCCTATACCTACATACAATGGCTATGATATGACATATGTATAATGGCTATGATAGCAACAGAGCTGAGAGCACGATTTTGAAAAGTGAAAACTACAATCGGCGACGGCTGCAAGTGCAGTCACGTCACGCGTACCTAATGCTCGAGTAAATAGAAACAGCTATAGGTACTCATCTCTGCACCGATCCCTATCTGACGGAGGTGTATCGTGGTTGTTGATTTCATTGGCGATTCCTGTTCCCCGCTGCGTTCATTTAGAAATCGTAGTTCAAACAATAAAAAACAGCTTCAACTTGACCAAAAATTTCAAGTGGACGAGGTTCGAAGAACATCAATTCATACTTTGACAAGCGGACAGAGGCCAAATCCATCACTTACCCTTGTATTTCCAATTACCTCAAAACAAAACAAACACGTTGCATACTCGTACTGTGCCAGAAAACATCCACCACTTTTGTGACAAATATCCGTGGACCTAGCCATACCAGACCAGACGAGAGCAAGCACCACAACCTCGCTGAGTTTCAGCACTCCGCACACACGCGTCGCGCGTGCCCCAGCCATCGTGTGCCGAGACTCCTAACCGCAGACCAGAGTGTGTCCTCTCGAGACTGACGAGACTAGCTGTCCTTAGCACCCGTGACGTCACAGACGCGGCAGCCAATCAGCGTCTGGCAGCCGGGCACGCTCGGTTTACGACAGTTTTGCTCACTAAAGCACTTAATATTCTGTGGAGCACACACTATGCGCAATTGCACAGGTAGATTCGTCATGGGCCAGCACAAGTATAATGTGCGACAAACTGCTGGAAGAGCCTGTTTATGATACATGTTAAGTGGTAAACGTGTGAGCCATATGGATATATCGGAGGTCATACTAGTACATATTGGCTAAAATGGACTCTATTCTGGAGAGTGCTAAGCAAAGCACTAGCATAACAATTCTGGAGACTCTTCTGAGGACAACACTGTTTTAACAATGCAGTTACGAATTCATCGCAGGTGGTAGCACTCGGCAGATAACGCTTTTCATAGAGAATATAGGAAAAACTCTCAAACCGTAAACGCACGCCACCACGTAACAGCTTCTGAAGAGCACCATGCAGTGGGCGAGTTCATATAATTCATTTTTGACGCGGATCTCCGCGCTGAGAGATTCACAGACGACGCCCGTGTCGATGTGGCGCGACTCCGTAACACGTCGCAGCGTCCACACGAAGGCTGCGGTACGAGCACTACCTTCAGTCCCTTCAGAGTCCCTCCCGGCTCGACGTCACTGCTTTGGTAAAACACCCGCCCGACACCGCACCCCAAAATCACAACACCGGCGCACCCAACGCCGTCGGTTAACTACAAATCTACACCGCAGTGCATTAACAACAAACGACACTCTCAGTCCCATCAACAATAACCACCAGCCAGAGGTGTTTAATACTTCTGTCCAGGGCGGAGTCTATTCTCACGGGCTACCGACGTCCAGCCCTGCAGAGGCGCTCCAGCGACCTCCCACTCTCCCTGCACTGCACAGTTCACCGATCACTGCACTGCAGCAGCTCGGCTATCACAGAGCACTTCCCGGCAGCTGCGTATCACAGGAGCGCAGCGACCGGCCCACGCTGACACCGGGCGACGTCCTCCGTCTATCACAGTTAGCCTCGGAGACGGCAGGCTGGACAACAGACACATCTGCGCAGGATTTGTCTCCATCGGCGGCGAGTGAGGCGACTGCGTCTCGGACGGCGGCGGGCGGGGCGGGCGGCGGTGCCGGCGCTAGCTCCATGTGAGGTCGTATTTGGTCCAGTCGGGTCGGGGTGCCAGGTATACCCGCCGGTCCTCGTACATGAAACTGACCACTCCCCGGTACCCGGTGCGTGGCACGCCCGACTGCAGAAGGACGAGGGGGGGGGGGGGGGCGAGGCGGTGAGACATAGGGCGGAAAGGTTCGCGAGTCAACAAGTAGTAATGCGCTAGTCCAACGTAGCTCTTCAAGACAGAATGAAGTACCGCGAAGCTCAGCCTACATTTCCGTCACCAGATGGCAGTAGTAGTCAGCGCCTGCTCATATACTGCGCCGCAAGACACGCAACTCGCAAATGTGCGATCAGTCTGGCGACTGTCCCCACAGAGAGGCATGGAAATATGAGATCGTATTTTCTAAAAATTATTTATTATGTTCAGAAGAAACAATGTGACAACATGCAACACATCAAAGAGATCCAACATGCGATTCGACCAGATATTATGTAATTACAAACTATGGCCAGGACACAGTAGGGACTGCGGAAACTGCGGAAATCATGCAGTGTCACTGCATGATTTCCGCAGTACCGTGGCACAACCTCTCATAAGCCCGATCTCTGCAATCTGCAGTCAGCTGGTCTGTGAAATCCACCTACCTTCAGGTCGTCCATGAGTCCCAGCATCTTGGCGGTCCTCTTGAAGCCGTCCTTGGTGACGTACTGTATCCGGACGCAGTCCTTGTGGCCGATCTGGCGGGCCTTCAGCTCAGTGTAGGTAACCTCCTGACACGAGTACACGTGGTCGACAAACCACGGGTCGTAGTTCTCCTGTAGGCGCCATACGGGGAGGGGGGGGGGGGGGAGGGTCAGTGGAGCCACGAACAGAGGGACAGCCGTATGGAACAAGAGAGGGTGTCTGCTTCGTCGTAGAAACAAACGGAACAAATGTGACGTGAAGAAAAGAAGCTCTTGGGAAATGAATTGCAACACATTGTGTGTAACAGTCCGTATCCGTTTAAAAAGCTTTAACACTAAAAGCCCTGGTGTCACTATCACGTTGTAATGTACCCGTGATGCCAGCGGCAGCGCTACCGCCGACACCCGTGCAATCCTCCAACAGCCGTCTGCCACCCAGCCGTGGTGGTCCAACTATTATCTTTACTTTACTTAGGCATCCGGTGGACAGGGAATGCATCACCTTTGTGCACACACGGTTGGGTCGCGCACCCTCGTGGGTTGCGGTGTGCATTACACCGTCTTAATTGCAAGTTACGTTATTATTACATTTACGTTACGTTAATGTTTAAACTCCGTGACTCATTCATTATCTCCGTCTTTCGTCTCTCGTCTCGAATGTCTCCCTCTGCCAAACAAGATAAAGATTTCTGCTCCGTTATTATTTACATAAAACAAGTATAACGCCAAAGAATGAAACAAGACTGCTCGGGAATGTACGTCTACGGGAAATTACGTCGCCTCAGAATAAACGCGCAGATTAGCCTAACATACCCTAACACGCGCAATCTACACATTTACTTTACCTTGCTCCTAGCCTAGCTAGGGAGGCGGGGTGAGCACAAAGCCCCATCCTCCGGGTCAGCGGGACACCTACCTCGAGCGAAGCCACCACACGAGAGCCCCGATCGGCCGGTGCTCACCCGTTATAACCCAGCTCGAGGTGGGAGTCGGAACGGTCAGCCCGCCCGAGGTGAAAGCCAGCCTCGCGTTCCGACGCGGCGCCCGTCGACCAGGAAAACCTATTCCTACAGGCGCGGGCTTTACATAAATACCCCCTTCTCCGCAAGGTGGGTTAAATCCCCTTACTTCCGGGGAGGGGGTCTTTAGTAAAGCCTTACAATCGACAGACTAAGACGTTCCGAAATGCACAGATCGCGATAACATAGTAGCAGGGATACGGAGCAGCCTTCAAGCGGAGCAACAGCAAGTCATACACACATTAGACATGTTTACAGACATCAAACATATACTCAGATCAGACATTCAGATGCATGAGAGTAGCAGCGTTCGGCCACCTCTGGGGCGGCATTCCCTGCTCTGCGGCAGCGGGCGGCAGCAGACAGCAGGCAGCCGGTGCAGCAGCTTCGGGCCGCAGCAGGCGGGCTTCTGGCAGCGGGCAAGCAGCCGGCAGCCGGCAGGCAGCGGGCAGGCAGCCGGCAGCGGGCAGGCAGCCGGCAGCGGGTAGCAGCAGACAGCAGGCAGCCGGCAGCAGCTTCGGGCCGCAGCAGGCGGGCTGCTGGCAGCGGGCAAGCAGCCTGCAGAGGGCAGGCAGCCGGCAGCGGGCGGCAGCAGACAGCAGGCAGCTGGTTCGGGCCGCAGTAGGCGGGCTGCTGGCAGCGGGTAAGCAGCCGGCAGCGGGCAGCAGCAGACAGCAGGCAGCCGGTGCAGCAGCTTCGGGCCGCAGCAGGCGGGCTGCTGGCAGCGGGCAAGCAGCCGGCAGCAGGCAGCAGCAGACAGCAGGCAGGCAGCCTGCAGCAGCCTCGGGCCGCAGCGGGCGGGCTGCTGGCAGCGGGCAAGCAGCCGGCAGCGGGCAGGCAATGCAGCCGGCAGTGGACGGTACTCGGCAGCTTCGGGCCGCAGCAGGCGCGCTGCTGGCAGCGGGCAAGCAGCCTGCAGAGGGCAGGCCGCCGGCAGCGGGCGGCAGCAGACAGCAGGCAGCCGTTTCGGGCCGCAGTAGGCGGGCTGCTGGCAGCGGGCAAGCAGCCGGCAGCAGCAGCAGCAGCAGCAGACAGCAGGCAGGCAGCCGGCAGCAGCTTCGGGCCGCAGCAGACGGGCTGCTGGCAGCGGGCAAGCAGCCCGCAGAGGGCAGGCAGCCGGCAGCGGGCGGCAGCAGACATCAGGCAGCCGGTTCGGGCCGCAGTAGGCGGGCTGCTGGCAGCGGGCAAGCAGCCGGCAGCGGGCAGCAGCAGACCGCAGGCAGGCGGCATGCAGCTGGCGGGCTGCTGGCAGCGGGCAAGCAGCCGGCAGCGGGCAGGCAGCCGGCAGCGGGCAGCAGCAGACAGCAGGCAGGCGGCATGCAGCTGGCGGGCTGCTGGCAGCGGGCAAGCAGCCGGCAGAGGGCAGGCAGCCGGCAGCAGGCGGCAGCAGACAGCAGGCAGCCGGCTCGGGCCGCAGTAGGCGGGCTGTTTCGTCCGCAGCAGGCGGGCTACTTCGTCGGCAGCAGGCGGGCTGCAGGCAGCGGGCAGGTAGCCGGCAGAGGGGCTGCAGCCGGCAGCAGGCGGCAGCAGACAGCAGGCAGCCGGCTCGGGCCGCAGTAAGCGGGCTGTTTCGTCCGCAGCAGGCGGGCTACTTCGTCGGCAGCAGGCGGGCTGCAGGCAGCGGGCAGGTAGCCGGCAGAGGGGCTGCAGCCGGCAGCAGGCGGCAGGCCCGGACCGCAGCAGTGGGCGAAGGAGCCCGGGCTGCAGCAGCAGACCGCAGCAGTGGGCGGCGGAGCCCGGGCTGCAGCATCAGATCGCCATAGTGGGGCGCAGCGGTGGGTGGCACCGCTTGGCTGCCACCGCAGGGGGCAGCACCCGGTCGGGTGCAGCAGCTCCTTTCCTTGAGCCGCCTCTGTTGGCGGCTCCCAGGCTGATCCAGCAGCAGGCCGCCCGCAGCGCCACCTGTAGTCGTAGGGTCTTCCACCACCGGCGGCGGCCTCGGCTGGTGACGCCCTCTTGGTCGCGCCGTCTGCTGCCACTTGGTGGCGCTAGCAGCGACGCTCTCTCGGCGAGCGCCCTCTTGGTCGCGCCGTCTGCTGCCACTTGGTGGCGCTAGCAGCGACGCTCTCTCTCGCTCGCTTCAGGCGGCGGACGGCAGGCGGCGCCCGTGGCGACGACGCTCGGTACTCCGGCGGCGGCGTCCTTGGCTGGTGACTCTCTCATGGTCGCGCCGACTGCTGCCACTAGGTGGCGCTAGCGGCGGCGCTCTCTCGGCGACACCTCTCTCCTTGCGGCGCGCGGCGGACGACGGCGTGATGCCTCCGACATTCCGACCGACGCCTCCATTCCTCTCTCTCGTCCTTCTCTCGCGGCGGCGCGGCGACTCCCTCTCTCTATCGCGGCGGGCGGCGGTCGGCGGCGCGGCGCTCCGGCGGCGGCGCCCTCGGACGGCGGCGCCCTCGTTTGGCGGCGCCCTTTTGCGTCGCCCTCAGCTGGCGACGCTCTCTCGGCGGCACCGCTATTCTCTAGACTCGCGGAGGACGGCGGTGCGACGGATTGCGGCGCCCTCGGATGGCGGCGCCCTCAGCTGGCGACGCCCTACTGTGTCACTTCCTTCTACCGCGACGGCGTCATCTGCTGCTACTTCTGTTCACTTCCTTCTACCGCGACGGCGTCATCTGCTGCTACTTCTGTTCACTTCCTTCTACCGCGACGGCATCATCTGCTGCTACTTCTGTTCACTTCCTTCAACCGCGACGGCGTCATCTGCTGCTACTTCTGTTCACTTCCTTCTACCGCGACGGCATCATCTGCTGCTACTTCTGTTCACTTCCTTCAACCGCGACGGCATCATCTGCTGCTACTTCTGTTCACTTCCTTCAACCGCGACGGCGTCATCTGCTGCTACTTCTGTTCACTTCCTTCTACCGCGACGGCATCATCTGCTGCTACTTCTGTTCACTTCCTTCAACCGCGACGGCATCATCTGCTGCTACTTCTGTTCACTTCCTTCAACCGCGACGGCGTCATCTGCTGCTACTTCTGTTCACTTCCTTCTACCGCGACGGCATCATCTGCTGCTACTTCTGTTCACTTCCTTCAACCGCGACGGCATCATCTGCTGCTACTTCTGGTCATCTGCTGCTACTTTCGCGACGGCGTCATCTGCTGCTACTTCTGGTCATCTGCTGCTACTTTCTTCATCTCTACCGCGGCAGACGGCGGGCGTCGCTCGTGGCGGCGACGCGCGGTACTCCGGCGTCGGCGCCCTCATGGTCGCGCCGTCCTCTGCCACTTGGTGGCGCTAGCGGCGACGCTCTCCTGGCGACACCGCTTCTCTCCCCACTCGCGGCGGAAGCGGTCCCCCGCTCCATTTCTCTCCCTCTTTCTTCTCTCGCGGCGGCGCGGCGACTTCCTCTCTCTATCGCGGCGGACGGCGGGGCGGCGCTCCCTCACTCGGCGGTGATGCTGGCGACGCCGCCGTCACTTTGCGGCGCCCTCTGCCGACGGCGCAGCTGATGACGCCTCCTGGCGACGTCCTTTGTTTCTCTCTATGACGCGGCGGACAGACGGTGCAGGTGCGTCTCCTCTCTGCTACCGCGTCGGCGACATCTACTTCTCGTTTCCTCTCTGCTACCCGACGACGACATCTACTTCTTTCTCTTCTCTGCTACCGCGACGACCTCTACTCTCTTCTCTTCTCAGCTACCCGACGGCGACATCTACTTCCTTCTCTCCTCTGCTACCGCGACGACTTCTACTCTCTCGTATCTGCTTCCCGACGGCGACATTGACCGAGCCGAGGGCGACGCGGCTCCCTGTCGTGCAGGCGATCTGTCCTCCACATCCGTCGGAGGCTCTCGGAGATCGCCCGCCGCGCACCTGACGATAAAAAACAAAACAACTCGGCAGGAAAAACGTTCATTACGCAATGCCTAGCTAAGTCAGTCACATCATATTCATCACACTTTCCACATTTAAACGTTTGCGAACAATCAACCATTTACAGAACACTTCATTACACTTCGCACATTCAACGTTTCATACTTTTAATCAACCAGTTACAGAGCACATGCTTAATTTAAATATGCCTGATGAAAGGAGAGAGTATTGGATAGAAGGAAGGATATACGGTACATACCAGCCGCGGTTATTGGGGCACCTCTGGTTGTTAAAGACGGCTAACATTGGCCGTGGGGCGTGACATCACAACACCGCGGATGATTGTCCGTGATTCATGGCCCTCTTCCGATTGATGGTCGGACTTTGAAAATTACAGCAAATAAATCGATACCTCATGACTGCAAGCTTTGGTTGTTAATGAAATTTGTATTCCATGAGACACTGGTTAAGACTGAACTATTCCGAAATTGTACGTTTAACACGTCACAGTCGACCATCCGACCTGACCACGTGAGCGGCCGTCTCAGTAGTCCCAGGTATTGACCGGTATGATCATGCTAAACGGGCCATTTATTTCGCCAAACAAATAATTTAAATTTCCTTCCGCCTAAACTGAGTTTAGAGCGGCATTGCGTGGTCACAGGTAATGGTCGGTATGATCATGCTGAATGGGCCATGAAATTTTGCACAAAACAAGTCATTCAAATTTCGTTCCGCCTAAACTGAGTTCAGAGCGGTATCTCTCGTCGCCGGCCCTTTGGTAACGGTTCAGCGACAGAGCCGACTGTGGGTCGGGTCACCGTCACTGGCACATGGCGAGCGGGGAAGTGATTAGATGGTGCGTGGGATCTGGTGAAAGAGAAAGTGGGACATGGTTCGACTCCCACTGCGCAGAGAAGCGGGTCAAATGTGCGTGCGGCGCAGCGCCGATGGCTGTGAAAGCCAGGAAGAGGAAATGACCGATCGCTGATATAATGAGCGGGACCGAGATGGAATTGACTGGGAGACGAGGCTCTGGCGCATTTCGCCCATGGAGGATAATAGTCTGCGGAAATGCGGTACCGCATTCCACTAGTCTCCGCCATTACAGCGCTCCGACGCATGCCCAGCGGCGCTGGAATAATGGATTGGGACGACGGGCCAAACAGCAAACACACCGGCTAGGTCGGTGACCATTGACCAATGACCAAGTCGAGCGGGCGGCGCCGGCGCTGGAGATAAGGACAGAATAGCGAAACTGGTATTCGGCTCTGAGTTCTTCGAATACGAAAGAACGATTTCGTTCGTTGGCGGCTGTCAATTAGGGGAGCGGGGAACCATCAACCAGACATAGATCCACAGGATCGGTATCCGAAGAAACGCATAAAAGGGCTGTACGCTCAACTAATCATCATCAACGTAAAAATGAAATTAAAACTGTGAAATTGAACCAGATTATGCTTAAAATCATAACCTGAACAATGCTGACAGTTTTATTTTTAAATCAATTACCTCAAATTATGACAAGCAATTTAATGTAACCGGTGAGCCTTCGTCCAACAATGAAAAGCATATTGAAACGTTATAACAATTTAAACGATATGCAAGTAAAATGTGAGTAAGTTTGAAATTTGCTTTATCTTGATACATTTACAGGCAAATAAAGTGGATATAAACTAAAACGACATCTTATATTATTTGGTCCCTGAATCATGTAGAACACGGGCGTAAAGCGCGTAAGTGCCAAAAGTTAAACGGTAAATAACATCCCTAAAAAGCCGATGTTTAACGATGATTCATTTTGTTACATGAACGTTTCAAAACGTCGGCTTAGGCACGTACCTAAACGGAAAATCAAGAAAGTAATTGGTAATTAAATTTACATTCCTACCGTCTTAATCGAGCTTTACAAATACAATAAAGCGTTTTAAATATAAAGGTCGGGCAATACGTATCCATAACACATTTGTTAAATGAATGAAATTTAATTAACGACTTGCAGCATTTGATCAAAGTAAACGATTACAAAAACCTGTACGAAGCAAATAGATTAAAACGGTGAAAGGATTTAATACGGCAAAATGCATTATTTATCAAAGGTTTGAGTTAAACAGACAAGTTTGACATTTCCACCTAGTGAATTTAAAGTTTCACCGGCAATTAATTTATATTCGATCAGTGAGCCTAGCCCAGGTTATAGTAAAATGGGAAATAATCAATATGTTCAATTACGATAATTCATGAGAATTATGAGCAAAATATGGCAATTTTGACATTTCCTTATGAATACCTTATTCAGAATTTTTCCCAGAATTTCATTGATTCCCGATCAGTGAATGAGAGAATAAGAACAGTAAAACGGTGAAATAACCTTTGAACGGTTAAATGCAAAATTTACAAATAATTCTGAGGAAACATGGTCCTAATTCTAACAGCTCGCTTAGTGAATGTTTAGGTAATAATTTAACCGGCATTTCAAATGATTTTGACGAGTGAAGTGATCAGTTTCAATGACAAAACCACATTACGCATCACGAAAATTGTAGGTAGGTACATCGCTGTCAAAATCATATCATTACGAATTTATAAAGTTTTACAATTCAACGCCTGATAGCAAAGTTTGAATTGACCATTTATAGTTTTTAGAAAGAAATGAAGCACAGCAAAGTTCCATAGCATTTCAAACATAACACTAGATATCAGGCATAACAATAATTGAAGTTCTCGTCAGGACAGGCCTTTATCCGTGACGAAAACATTTCAATTTCATCACTCGCACAACATTCAATTATATCAATCATATACTTTTATCAATCAATCATACGGTTCGCCGTTTATCGGTCAGATATTTCCTCTCACCGATGTCTTATTATTGCAGTCGTCAACAAAATTTTCCTAATGAATTTTTGGTGGCTGGCTCGCTCGATTGTCCCTGAGTAATGAATATTTCACGGAGTGAGCAAATTAAATCGGCACATCGACTGGGGCTGTTCGGTCGAGATTTACGGGCTTCTCCAACCAACTAATGCAGTTTAAGACTTATATAGCGGTCGGACAAGGGTCACACCGACTACAGCACAAAGCGCACGCAAGACAAGCTAGTTCGGTCGAGACTTATGGGCTTCTCTATATCAAGAGAAGGGATCGCTGCCGACTTGCACAACATGCCGCCCAAACAACAGGTGTCTGGGTCGCGGATTTACGGGCTTCTCCAACCAACTAACGCAGTTTAAGACTTATATAGTGGCTGAACAAGGGTCACACCGACTGACATGATTGTGCACGCGAACTAGCCTGCTCGGTCGAGACTTACGGGCTTCTCCATATCAGAAGAAGGCTCACTGCCGACTTGAGCGCAATGTGCACACGTAACAGCGATTCCCGGCCGATGCACCAAAATTTATGTAATGTACCCGTGATGCCAGCGGCAGCGCTACCGCCGACACCCGTGCAATCCTCCAACAGCCGTCTGCCACCCAGCCGTGGTGGTCCAACTATTATCTTTACTTTACTTAGGCATCCGGTGGACAGGGAATGCATCACCTTTGTGCACACACGGTTGGGTCGCGCACCCTCGTGGGTTGCGGTGTGCATTACACCGTCTTAATTGCAAGTTACGTTATTATTACATTTACGTTACGTTAATGTTTAAACTCCGTGACTCATTCATTATCTCCGTCTTTCGTCTCTCGTCTCGAATGTCTCCCTCTGCCAAACAAGATAAAGATTTCTGCTCCGTTATTATTTACATAAAACAAGTATAACGCCAAAGAATGAAACAAGACTGCTCGGGAATGTACGTCTACGGGAAATTACGTCGCCTCAGAATAAACGCGCAGATTAGCCTAACATACCCTAACACGCGCAATCTACACATTTACTTTACCTTGCTCCTAGCCTAGCTAGGGAGGCGGGGTGAGCACAAAGCCCCATCCTCCGGGTCAGCGGGACACCTACCTCGAGCGAAGCCACCACACGAGAGCCCCGATCGGCCGGTGCTCACCCGTTATAACCCAGCTCGAGGTGGGAGTCGGAACGGTCAGCCCGCCCGAGGTGAAAGCCAGCCTCGCGTTCCGACGCGGCGCCCGTCGACCAGGAAAACCTATTCCTACAGGCGCGGGCTTTACAACGTTTGCACATCGTACGGCAGATAAACGGCGTCACAACTACTCACCCGTAGTAAATAACTCATGTCCATTTTGGTAAACGGTACTGGTCTATCGTTTAAGTGAATAAACTTCAAATGCTTCTCGAAGAATAACCCACTGAAAACAAGAGAAGTAGAGATAAATGCAAATGCAGGAAAACAACACGAAACTGATCACCACAACACTGCATCAGCCACAAACGAACGTGATAATTGCGGTTTATACAACCACTTAGAACCTAAACAGAAGCCACGACATTAATCACTAAGCAACGAGACATTCTAGATCAATCTCTCTGCTATTGGCGACATCTGCTGAGAAATCCCAAGACCGAACGCAAGCACATAAAAGTAATGCACTCTAAAAAAAAAAAAAAAATAGGTGATTGTTGGATGCAATATACGTCATCGAAAACCTTTTCTTTTGGCTTATTACTTACCACACCACAATCGGCACCCACCCCACTTTCGCCCACCACCACACCCAGTCCACCCAATCCCCGTCCAATTTGCACCCTCCGGCGTCCACCCGGCGGACTCACTTGCTGACTCCCTTTTTGCCGAACGTTCTGGTGCGGGACACCTCTGGTCTGATGCAGGCCCTGTCCAGTCGCTGGGCCGGCTCCCTCATCCAGTCGTCCCAGTACCTTACAGAGGACACAGAGAGGGAAATGAGCGTCTTACAGTCATAGTCGCATCAACGATTTTATCCTCAATATGGGATGAAATGAAAAAAAAAACGAAGAACATACCAGAAAGTCAAAAGAGGCGTACGGAAAACTGGAGGAGTTAAATATGTCGAGAGCAAAGCAGCCAGAGGGGAGAATCGAAGATTTAATTTTCTCCAGCCCGGATGGGAAACACGTAACATTAATGAATATTAAATATGCCAGCCGAGCTCAGGAAGCGAACTCAATGCAAATGACTTATTTTTGCACCTTTCCGCCCCACAACCACTCAGACTCCCCAGCTACGTACGATTTGGGCCACTTGTCTCGCAGCTCGTGCCAGAGTTTATCGGTGATCATCCAGCCGAGTCCCGGGAAAAAGTCGCTGCGGTACAGCAGCTCCGCAGCCGAGGCGTTGATCCGCGACAGTTTACCTGGCGGAGAATGCACACAAGAGTCATATATGACGGCAAGGTCAGCTGCTGGTAGAGAAACACGACGCCCGGACGGCAGGAGAAGGATACAGGTGTTTGCATCCGTCAGAAGTAAACGCTGTTCTGAACGAATATCACGTTGTTATGAACCTAGATAGGTTCAATACATTTTAATTGTTTCGACTGCATGACAAACATGTCTCATTTTTGCTAATTTATGTCTCATTTGTAATTTATCTCATTTAGTCTATGGTCCATACCAATCGAAGGGTCAGACACGTCAGTGCGTGCGCCCCCAGGAACTCACCGTTATCGTTCCAGGCGGAGACACACCACAGGGTCGGGTCGTCCCGCAGCAGCGGGTACGTGCTGGTGAAGTAGTCGAAGATGTCGGGCGCGATGTCCAGATCATCCTCCAGGATCAGCACCGTCGAGTGGTTGAACGTGTCGAACGCCTGGCTCAGCGCCCAGCGGTAGTGACGCGCGATCTTGAAGTAGCCCTTGAACTTCTTCTCCTTGGCCGGCAGAACTATGTCGCTCTGATCCGGTTGCTGTAGGAAAAGGGTGTGAGCGGTCAAGATAGGGCGAATGGGCGAAATATTGGGCCTGCACGTCCTTATGTAAGCTTGGGTATGCAATAGGTTACCAATGAACGACTAAAATATGCCGTCAGAGCAAAATTTCAACTTAAAAGTTTATTCAAGCTTGAAAGATGAGTCAAACCCGGCGAACTCTAAGGTTGGGCCTGTCGCCCCCTGCAACTAACCTGGATGTGTTTGACGGCGCTGCCGTACCCGGCTATGACCTCGGCGGTGGGCCGGTCGCCGCAGTCCTGCGACACGATCACCGGGAAGCGCGCCGGGTCGGGTCGGTAGCGTAACACCTGGTCCAGGTGGCGCGACACCGTCACTCGGTTACACGCGAACACCAGGACGGCGATCACCGGCGCGGCGACCGTGGCGCCGCCGGCGGCGCCCGGCGCAACTAAGCCGGCCGGCGCTGCAGCGGCCACTGCCGGGGGAGGGGACGGGATTAGTGGAGGGAGGCCGCGGTGGTTGGTGAGTGAGGGAAAAGATAATCAGATGCAGAGCGAAATGGTGAACTTATGATGATTGTCCTGATTTAATGTTTTATGAATGATGAGCAGAATAATCACATTTTAATATAGTCAGAAGCGTAAAAAGAATAGTCTTTTCAACGTAATTCTGCAACCAACGTCCAACAGTATTGTAGTCCATATTAGGTGATGCCCGTGATGGTTGAATGTCGATTATTTGAAGCTAACGTTTAGAAATTTCATTCCGCATCACTCGCCATCGCAATGCTACGCCAGTCTGCAAACATGACGTCTTAGTAAATGTGATCCGTCTTCTCTGCTTTGTATGTTGTTTACTGATAAATAGGTAGTCAGGCTGTGTACCCGATTACGCCGGTCCCGGTTGTGTCATCATAGAAACACACACAACAGAAGCGTACACAGAGGTAATACGCCAATATGCGCTATAGACGAAACGACATGCATCACAAAATTATACGACATGCACTGTTGGGTGAATGGGGCCCACACAACGGTGCTAATACTGCACCATTAACGACGCCACAAACAAGTTATTACTGGCCGCTCATAAAACCTAGATTGTTTCACGGTGAATACAACGCCCCGGACAACATAGTCATGTTCATGAATATATCAGAGCACACCAGAACACACAGGCTGGAGCACCATGGGACCCAGCGGGATCCTGCAGGACTCGACGGGGGCGCCGGGAGGGCCTCAGCATGTTTCAGAGTGACTGAGAGCAGGGGCGGGGTCGTTTCACGACACCTGTTCGGGCTGCAGTCACAGGTGGTGGTCGGCCGCGGGGGATGGTCGGCGGTCGGCGGGCTCCGCTTTTGTGTACCACTGAGGGCGGGAGGGGCGGGAGGGGAGGAAGCGAGGGTGTAGGGCAGGGATGGGCCAGCTGGGGGAAGTGCTACCATCAGGCGCCACTGCGGTATGGCGGTGGCTGGGAAGGGCCGATAGTCACCAGGGCGGCGAACACACGACAGCTGTGGAAGTGGCCAACCCCGTAGCACTCCCCCGGGGGGGGGGGGGGACGGAGAAACTGACGGGCGGGGACTATCTGACTAAAGCCGCTGCCCAACGGCAGCATGGTAATGAACGATAAAAACGAAAACGATTTACGAATAACGATAACACGACCTACAGACAAGTATGTGGGCGATTGCCATTTGATATATAAATTTACCGACAGGATATTGGTTTCGGGTCGACAAAAATCATAATCATCCGTTCCGTCCCATACACGCATGTGATCACACGTTTATAGCATCAAATTTAGCTCAACAATGCACGATAGCTAACACCTACGGAACTTTCCCTAGTCCCACTGCGTTCGATACTCATAGGTAGCAGTGATGTTCTACTGTCAACAAGGCAGTGGCAACATTGTCACGACTTCGAAAATGATAGCACCACGCTACGCTTATGTTTAATAGCACACCGCTGCGGCAATAAAGAATGAAACGTATAGGACCACCACGAACAAGAAATAATTCATTTCACTGCCGAGCCTCAAGAAATATTTGGTCGATGGTCATCATTAAAATTTCAGGACATCATAAACGTACATGGTCGATGCAGTCAGGCATAAACGGCCTTAAAAGTGACTGCATTTGAAACAGCTGCAAGTGGGAAACCGTGAAGAGTTTTCATTACCCGCTGGCCGGAGCCAATTTGCCGGCTTCGAGTGTGATCACTATGGGCAATCTTTTGTTGGAAGAGAATCACTTCCCTCGGACTGCATGCTTGGTTAGAAACTAAACTACACAGAAGGTATACACAGAAAGCAAGCGGAACTCAATGACTATTAGCCGACGCAGACGATAGGTATGTCAATAAGCGTGAAATTCCAACTGCGATGGGCTTCCATTTCGTTGTTTTGGTCGAGCACACAACCTCAATGGAAGTAGGCGGTGAGGAATGAAAATATAATAGCATACGACCATAACTGCCAACCGGGCCATGGCACAATCCAAACCGTCGGTGGGGACTCCCGCAGTGTCAGCCCTGAAACTTTAGTCCAGTGCTACCGTCGAGTCGACACGATGTGCTATTTGACCCCGTGCAAGAGTGCGAGGCATGCTAACGGGCCTCATAGCGCCTCACCCGTGACTAATGCACGACGCTAGATTTCGTAGAGTCGCCGCGGCCGACAGCGGCAATCGATGTAGACGCGTGCAGAACGGTGCAGTGCCACCGTTGGTACCCGGTTGGCATGAATACCATCCGGGAAATACAGAAAGCTACGAAATACAAGCGCTCGACACAAAAGCAAAACTCACCGTTTACTAGCCATACATGGCTACAAAACCATGCATGCAAGACGGTAGAAGATAAGCGTCAAAGCAGAAGAAGCGACTGTGATTTAGCTCACCACGAAGCGTCACGTTACCTCTGTTGTCCGCGATCTTATTGAGTGCGTCCAGAAGCCGCCGGTTCTCGGCGTTCTGCTGCGACAGCGTGTTCTGTAGGTCAGCCAATTGTTCAGTCAGGCTGTTCAACGTCTGCGAACGGAGCGGGCAAGTTAGCACATCAACATAGAATGGCGGTGCCGTGTCGGGCCCGCTGCAATGACGGTAATTCACTGTGCAAGGTCGGCCGATTTGGGTTGTAATTATTTAACATCACTATATCACGAATGAGGAGCTGCTGTGTGGTGCATGTATAGCGATACAGACGACCGACGGCAAAACGGCACAAATGTGGTGGAATATGTTTTATGGCTGCAACTAACGGCAACATCATCTTTAGCATTCGTAGACACACTCATCCACCTATTGGTACATACATTCAGGGTAACGACTCGTATTCTGAACCACCATCAAATTTGATAGCTGTTCTAGGTCATTGCTTTGCGGGTCGACTAACACCACAAGTTCTTATTCACTGCCCTCCTCGTCCAACCCCAACAGTGCCTGGATGCCATCTCCTGAGCTCTCCCGCCTATTCCAGCCTACATTCCTTTCAAAATTCACCCAGCATTCCCCTATCCACTCTGAATCTGCTCGTGACCACTCCACTCCGCCATTCTGCGCTCGTACCCAGTGGGGCGCCTGTGCCGCCGGCGCCGTCCACCCGTACACCAGCCAGAGGACCAGTCCGGCAGACAGCTGCAGCGCCACGTTCTGAACGGCCAGCCGGCCGCACACCGCCGGCTGGGCGCCCGTCTCGGTGCGGCCACACACGTGAGCCGAGAGCAGCGCGTGCAGCAGCGGCAGCAGCACGGCGCCGCCAGTGGCCACCGCCAGCAGCGCCGGACGGAGCCGCGCCGCCGCCGAGAACAGCAGAGGGGCCGACACCGGCTCCAGGCGCATCGTCGTGCAGGCACCGCAAACACCGGCTAATTTAAAGACACACAGAGATGCCGGATGGGGCCAGACGAGGTTCCCGAAAGAGTGGAAGGCGTTTGACCACAGAGCTCCTGACAAAAGTGGAAACTGCGAGAGAAGGCCTAAGCGATGGGATAAAGCCGCTGAGACGGCTGGCGCTGGACGTGCAGAGGGCATGGACCGCGACAGGAGACCTCAAATATCAGATGACCTCGCTGAGGTTTGAAACAACTCAGTCGAGTGTACTTTGACAGCGAGATCTTCAAATCCGCTCAACGATGTGATTACGTCTACGACATCGGGGCACCACACGCTTCTGGACGTTCACTGATCACCAGTCCGTGTCATCAGCGCGAGCACCAAAATCACAGCGCACCAGGCACCACCAGTTTACCGTGCACGCAGCACCACCAGTCCGCTGTGCACGCACCAGCACCGACAACTGGCCCCCCATACCGGGTCGCCGCGTCGGTCACAGGTGCAGTTCGGCCGGCGCCCGGCGACGACGGGACCCGCCGGGTCCCCACCGACACCTGGCGAAACACACCCAAAAACGACAGAGACGAGACTGGGAGAGGGTGGCCGGGCTCAACAGGACCAAATCACATTCTGGTGAGATACGAGGACGTAATGATTCTAGTGGAAGGGCTCAAGCGGCAAGGTTTGTGGTAAAGAATGATTACCAACATCAGTAACAGCGATGAGCTTGGTGGGTTAAGTTAACCTTCAAAGTATAATTTTGATGATGATTCAAACCAGGATAATCTCTAAACATAAATAATGTATAAAAGGAGCTTGGCATGCAACACAGTGCGACAATAATGCCTCATCTCACTATCAACGCGAATGACGTCGGCACAAAATATTACGAGAGCTTCCGTTACATCCGTCACTTTCGCATACGGGCCTGCACAGTTTGCAATTTTGCAGATAAGCTTGCATGGTTGCAATCAGGCTGAGGTCGCAAAAAAGCTGCAGATTAGACCGGAAAAGCAACCGGGCGAGTATCTGTACCAATGTTGAAAAAGTTTCTATTTTAAGATAAATAATTCCGTAGTGGTTACGCTACAAAGTATGAAAAAGAGCTCGGCAGATTGTACGGATTGGCTACAAAGGCTTGATAAGCAAAAAACATAAAACCCTAGATTTTAGCCATTCGTTTCATGTTCGCGAACATTCCTCGAACCTACATGCGAGAACTCTATCCCTTCCCTATGCAAGGGCATTGCAATGCATCCTCTGCGTCGTTATTTGCCCAATGAGTCCCATAACTTCATCGCGGTGAGTATTCTCCAGGGACTCAGTCCACTCACTGCCCCTGGACAGACCTCACGCCATGGTGGCAGCCAGGAACAATTTCCATCGACCTCCAAAACGGAGCGGCGGTTTATTCCACCGGGGTTTGCCGCCGGACGAGCGATACATACGGCGACATTGCCCTGTATACACGTCAGCGGCGGTTGGCGCACGCCAACGACCACCTAATGGCCACGGGCGCCCGTGCGCTGCGGCACAAATTCACCCGCACGCAATCCGTCAAAAGTTACTGTATGAAATGGGCGGAACCGAGCCGCACCACCTTTCGTGCCAAACTGCAATTCAGGAATATGTTTCATAAGGTCGCAAACTTGAATATACAGTAAGGCCTTGGTGTAATCAAAAGACGGTTTTCAGCACTGGGTAGCTTGCAATGAGCGCTGCTCGTAATAGCTGATTATTTCCCTTAAAAAAAAACTACTAGTGAAACCTCATGCCTAATCACAAGCATGTTTTTCAGTAAGAATGGAGAGCCAGAGAACTCACCGAAAAATTGGCCCAGTACAAAATCAGACGTTTGAAAATAGACTTCTATCTGACGTTTGACAATAGACTTCTATCTGGGGCCACAGTCCAAGTAGAGGTCTATAGTTGGTCCCAAAAAGCAGCTAAAAATGATACACAGTTAATTTTGCGCATGCTTATACTGAAGGCTAAGTTCATAGGCATAGGACACTCCAACATGTGGTTTCGCTGCTTGAAGTTCACAACGAAGAGCAAAGGGTTAATGAGACAATACAAATGGAAATGTCGACATGGACAAGTGTTTTGGTACCAAGATGTTCAAGAACAACAGAAATAATGAAGCTGTAGGGCGAGTCCTAAACCAGAAACCACAACAGACGAATTATTTCATCCGTAAGACCCGAACACGGGCTATCAACCTAACGATTGACAAACCGGTAGACAGGCCCAGGGAGAAACTGGGACATTCCGTCTTTTAATTGAAATCCGGAGCGTCAGGCATGCCGGTGCCACCATGCTGGTTAGTCCGGCGACCGGCCGGTAACAACTAGACACCACTTCTTCATCTCACCGAGTTTAGACGGGGCAACACTCGAGCCCGAAGTTCACTCAATCAATCATGTCTGCGTCAGCCATTAGTTGGTAGCCATCAGTCAGCCCAGCCAGTCATGTGTCAGCACCGACATGTGAACACAATCGCTAAATCTCCTTCGAACGCGACAAGTTCAGCCCAATGCAAACCACCGAATAATCACAATAAAACATCCAAAATACCGGAGCGTCGACTGCAAACACGTCAAATGACACCTATCACGCGTTACCAGCGTCATTCCAGGTCAGCGAAAATCACCACCCCCCGCCGTTTAGGGCCGAGGTCACCGGCGGCAGCGGAAGCAGCTCGGCGGCAGGCCAGCATGCCAGCACCACTCCGGCGGCAACGGGCAGGACCATCCCGGCAATGGCTCCACCCTCTGTTCTGGCAGCGCCCTCTGTTCCCACGACCGGTTCCCGTCGCCGGAACAGAGGGACACGTTCCCGCAGTGAGCGGTATGAGATACAAATAGACTGAGGTTTTGCCAAAATTGCATTAGGCATCAGATACTGTTCCAAAGTTTCTAAGAGTCTCGATGTTGTCCTGATTACAGCAATACTACATAAACACACAAACTACCTAATGACATTATGTTGCTCGAACCCTTCCCCCTTCCTGATCCCCGGTCAGTAGCACTCACCTCCTCTGTCCTGCGGACGCTGCCATTGGGCCGGTTCACGAACACGAGCAGGTAGACCAGCGACCAGACCAGCGTGCCGGCCACCACGTACACCAGCAGCTTCTGACGCATGGCTCACAGCTCACAGTCCTGGCGAAATATGGCAGTATGCAGTCTGATGCCATAGAAAATGGGCGAAGACTGGAGACAAACATATCAAAGAGTCCATTCCGTAGCTCTGTGGCAGAGTATTGGACTACTGGTGCCTGGTGGTAACAACACAGTTCTAGTCACCGTGGTGCTTGACACAGACCCTTGCCACTTGACAGGGATGGTCTGCAGTTGGTGGGAGCAGCCACAACCAGTTGAAGTCTGTTAAGTGGGGCAGACTGGACCCAATTTTGATAGATGTGACTTTGCTCACTACAGATAAAGCCTGCCCACTCATAATGTTTTAACTAAATTCCAAGAATTACACTGGATGGTAGTAAAACATGGGAGCATTGAAAATATTTTGATCTAGTGTGACAATCAAAATGCCCAATGGTGAAGGGCATGTAATTACTTGGTCATTATCTACATTTCTTAAAACATCACAGAAAAGGTAGTCAGAAGTTTAACTTCTGAGTGAGAATATTCCTTGGAAGAGCCATCTGTTCAAGTTTGTCATAGTAGGCACTAACCATGTCAGGATCTGCACAATGTTAGGGTTATGAGGGTAGATGATGAAAACAGGTGCCTGAGGGCCATTTCAGACACCATTTGCCATTCAGACAGGTGCTATCTTAAACCTGGCTTGGTTAACTTAATGAAGACAGATTTCATGATGAAATCTGAAACCACCCACCATTATGTTTTGCAGTCAAAACTATATCCAGAACAACTTGATCTGTACGTACTTCCTTAACTGTTACTTAGCACTTCAATTTGAGAAATTATCATGTTGAATTTTGAAATAACAACAGCTTACTATACTTAGCTTAGACTCAAAGGCTACCTATAGTCTCAGAGTAGCAAAATGGGTAGAGGAATAGAGAGAAGGGAAGGAAAACAAATAAAAAGAGTTTGCCTGGCAGATGAGAACACATCCATTGCAAATGGAAAGTGCCTATCACACAAGTCCAAAAATTGTGGTACCAGTAACGCAGACACATCACGAGCTGTCATATGCGCGGCCAGTCTGCAAAGTATGGCTCGCAGGTCGATGGGGCGCACCGGCCCAAGTTCAAAATCTGCACCAATCCTTCAAACAGAGCCGGAAAATCCGCACCAAAACCGGCTGAGAGTACAAAAAAAAAATCCGCACCGAACCCGCACAAGTGACCAGTCAAAAGCTGCACTGACCTCAATTGAGTCAATTCAAATTGTTGCTATGAGCCACAAGAATGCCGCCTCAGCACCTAGGATGGAAACGAAACTAGAAATACGCACTGCAAGACTAGAACAAAAAGCATGTCACGCAGATACAGAACCCTATCCGGGCTATCCGGTACCTGCCCCTGGCGATTCATCCATGTGGGTAAATGGTGATTATTGTGCGATGTACCAAGGTTACCCTAATGGTGTCGACACTGCCATTTAGCTAAACGGCTTGACAGTTGTGAGGGCCCCAGTTACAAAAATTGAAATATAAATGGCAAAAAATGGGCCCATCGCATGCATGCATTATCGGCATTTCTCGTTAGTTCATTAGCTGTATCAAACAACTAATTTGATAGGCAAGTCAATTTGACTACTTAGCCGCGGCTTGGCCGCGGCAAAACGGTGGTCCTCAAGGCCTGCCATCAGCCATGCGCATCTCGCCCTACCTACCACCAAGCGACAACGCCAAACTCTCATATGAACTGAGAGCATCTCGTTCACGAATGCTGCAGAGTGCAGAATGCAACAAACTCAGCTTCTTTCAACGCAACCTAGGCATTAGCTACGTCGAACGTACCCGATAAATTGTTCGCACTTGACTGCTTGAAGCGGCGGAGCAGTGATATTCTGGCCCTCCCATCGGCGGTACAAATCTTGAATCCCTCTCATCGGCCATGCTCATCTCTCTCACTCTCTCTCACGCCTTGCAGAGCCAGGGGGTGAGTTTCGTGTTGTAACAGTGCAAAGAGTGCGGAGTTGCGGGCGACCCACGCGATTGGTGGGCCCACCAGCAGTGGGCGGCAGTCCGTTCTGACCACCGCACACTCATTTTGACCCGAGCACACTGAATTACGTTGCGTCGAAGCTCCATCCATGTTTTTTCGATTTTCTTCATCTATCTCGTCTGGTCTGTCATGTCTGTCACTAAGCCAATTTCACACCACACTTTACTAAATCCGCACCACTGACCACACCACACCAAATCTGCACCAGCAGAACAAGCCAGCACCGACAAGATCTCATAAAAATTGCAATACTTTGCAGACTCAGACTGGATGCGCGGGAATGCATCTTTGTAACTAAACCAATCCAAACCAAAACCTAACCACCTTAACTAACCTGACCTACAACCTACGGCCTAATTTCTACAACCTACAAATTATCCTATTGCATATGGCAGCTCGTGCTACGTCTGCCTTACCAATACAATACAACTACATTACCATAATGCAACACCGTTATGGAATTCTTATGCCTTATCTACCCCTAACGTTGATTCGTTTGACAAAATATTGAGATATTCTTACCTTTGTTATTATTTCAAGATGAGCATCCACCCCAGTACGGTGGTATCATTGTAGGCTCTTTTTTTATATTATTGGTGAAGCTTAATCTTTATTACTAAAATAAATGGACTACAACAATGGAAAATCGTGTCGATATTGATATTCTTTACATGGAAATATAATTCAATGACAAATAGAAGATATGCGCCAGAAATGAAGAACGAATCTCTGTTCATCAACCGGGTCCGCAGAATCATCGCAGATTCAAGGAGAAATACTACGTATAGTAAAACTTTTATTGATTCGCCTTTGGCAAGAAATTTATTACAAAATAGACCTTGTAACCAAAAAGTGAAACTTGTTTTGATTTGCACTAAAAAATCTCCGTTTCAACTTTCAAGAGTCAAGACGGAATGTTTGCTTTTTTACTTTTCGCACTATCATCAATAGAAGTGAACATAAAAGCTTGCTGAATGAAACCTCATCAGTAAAAGTTCACCGTAGCTAAATTGTTTTAATTATTGAATCAGAGAGGTTGCAGTGGTTTTTGACGCATTTTGATCAATGATAGTCGACTCTATTTCTTATCTGTACTGACTGCAACGCTCGCAACTCAATATCGTTGAACTAATAGCAAAATAATAACAACTTTTTTACAGTTTTGCTACCGCCGGTTTTGAACTTTTATCAGCGGCAAAACTGGCGCACAGCTCAAATTTGGAATCGAATCAAAACAAAAGCGGCCTCGGCCATGAGGTAGGTGCGGTAGGTGCACGGGTAGGTGATGCTGGATCTGGTTTGCGTGGTGTCTGCCATTTGTACGATTCATGCATGGTGGACTAGAAGAAAGTTTATAAAACGTTTCACTGAAACATTTGGTTGTCAATGAAAAGAATCCGGTGCCAGTGTGCAAATAAGAATGTTGAAGAATGAGCGCGCTCGAACAGCGAGATTGAAGTTGAAGTGCAAGCTGAAGCGAAGTGCAGTGAAGTGCAAGTCAGCCCTGTGGATTCTGGATTTGTGACCTGAGACTTATTTTCCTTTGTTGTTAGTTATTTTATTTCAAAAGACTGAAGGCTGAAAGGAAATCACCCCTGCAAGCAACATCAACATCAACATAGAATTGGCACGACAGTGGTAAGTAGCCAATCTACCGCACGATAATGTCAACTGCTTAAGGCAATTGGAAATATTTCAGTCATTCAACGCACTTTTGAATAATTCTTAATGATATTCTTTCAACTGAAGGCTGTAGAACCTGAAACATCCCTCTCATTTCACGCATGGAAATGCGTAGCGTAGGGTGACTGAAAGTGGTGTCTCATTAGTTTGTTCTGCGTTTAGAACTCGTCTAGTCAGTATTAGAGGTATGTTGTATTTTGCAATCGACTGTCGCCAGTTCCAGCGAGTCACAGCCGCTTGATGCTTCACCGCGGAGGCGAGAGGTCGGTCGCGGACTCGCGGGTCGGGTCGGTCGCCGATTCCGCCGCCCTTGCCGCCGCCCTTCGAGCCGTTTGAGCCGGGCCTCCGTGCAGTGCTGCCATCTAGGATCGGATCGGCCGGTTGAACCCGGCTGCATCACAACATTGCAAGTCGGTGTGCTACCCCAGGGCATAGCGAGAGATGCGCCGGCTCAGGCTGCTAACTACCCGGACTAGGACCAAAGCGGAAACTGGGTCCTGCGTCAAAATGTCAGCTAGGGGAGGATCATAACTTCATACTGATACTGCTCTCTGATCATCATTAGAGCCGAGAGCTGGTGTGCGGGGATGGAAAAGGATCTTCTTGATTCAGCGACATTTTTGACACGCTTTCAGAGAATATCGTACTTGATAGCTTGTCCTGGAGAATATCAGCTCTACAATGAAAACTATTCGGCCCCAATCTGAAATCACATCGATGTAACATTGTAGGTATCGTGACTCATTTGTGGCCGGGTACCCTGTACCGTAGTCCGTATATACGGCTGCACGCCGTATGGCTATCTGGAACGTTTGAACGGTTATCTGGGATGACGGTTGGATCCTCCCCCCGCCCCCTCCCCCTTAGCTGCCGTCCCAGGGATCCGTTGGAGGCATGAATGTTGCATGCTCTGTACACTAACAAAACAGCAGACACGAGCATGAGCTGGTTGCCATTGAGAGCAAGTTCCACACAGCTATTTGTACAGTGGGTCTATTTAAGATCTCCAGAGCCACCACGTGGCGCTACGGTCGGGGTAGGGCGAGTCCAAATCCCGAGGGAAGTGAGGTCACCGGTCATTGTGGGGGAAGGAGGGAGGGGAAGTGACGCGGTATCACGACGCATGGGGCGTGCGTAGCGCCGGGGCCCGGGAGTGGGCCGCCCAGGGCCGCCCGCCACTGCGCCGAGGCTGAGGGGAGGGGATGATGGTTGCGGGTGCGTTCACTCCGGTATGGTGGTATATTGTTCATGTGGAACCAGCAAGAATGCGACTGAAGGGAATCATTATCTCAAACAAACGGGCAAGCGAGAGGCATGGCGCCAGTTCCAGCCAAAATCTTGAACAATGATAGGTAATTGAAATATAGGACGGATTAATAGCATGCAACTATTCAGTCGATAGTTGCATGATATCTTAGGTTTTTCTAAACTGTTATTTGAGTTGGGTATTTTTTTCATTTGGCACGTTCAGTTTTGGTGGGCTTTATCGGATCGAAAAGAATCCGAAAAGAAAGAGTTGAAATGGCTCCAGAAAAACGACCAAAAAATATTTTCTTTAAAAATGAAACTTAGCTAAACATTTATAAGCGATAATTTTGACTTTTTTGAGAGGATATTGGGGAAAGATGTTGGTGAAAGATATCATCGTGCTTGTCTGTGTTGCAGTAGAAGGAAAGGTTTTGGTTCGTGTCCAGATAAAACCAGACCCGGGAGTGGGGCTCGAACTCACGACATCGCGTTCAGCTCACAGGTTACCCAACCTAAACGCTACGGCACCTATCGCCCTGCGCAGCTTGCTCAGTGCTACGGCTAAAGTTCGGCCAAAGTGTCTGACGTCTGTCAATGTCACGAGGCGAAACCCCTAGGTAAATGTCCGTCCCGGTAGCTCGGTCGTTAGGGCGATGGACTCCGTGTGGTGAGAGCGCACGTCCCGGTTGCAAAACTCCGGGTTCGAAACGCGACGTGTGCTTGACGTTTTTGAGCTCCTGACGGGTATGGTTTGGTTGGTGGCAGGCCGCTGCCAGGCGAAGTCAGTGAGGGGACCGGCCGTGCGCGGCTACGTGTGCAGTTGCACGTTAAAATTTGAACTTATTCTGCCATAGACCAGGGATTGCTTAATCGGAGGGTAGAGGGCAGGGTCAACACAAGCTCAGCTTAGCGGGGACTTCCTTGTTCCTTGTGATTCCTTTCATTCAAAAGGTTCGGGCCAAATCTATATTAACCCGCGCCCTGCTGGGGGGGGGGGGGTGTTTGAACACCCCCCCTTGTGGTTTTTCGCGAATATCTCAAAAACGGCGGCGCGGAGCGCCGCCGTGTTTGGTACACCTTATCATACATCAATTCTACACATGTTGTGAAAATTTCAGACCAAGGTCATTCAAGGTCAGGTCACCAGGTCACCTGAAGTGACCTCACCTCATAAAAAGTTTCAATGTCTGTCATAGCTACACCGAGAGACCGATCGCTTTGAAACTTTCAGCGATTGCTAAGAGCAATAGCATGTACAAAATGTATATCTCAGAATTTTGATATCGATGACCTAAGGTCAGGTCAATTTTGCGACCTCCCCATTATAAGTCAATGGGAGAAAATTGAAACGCGCCTCTTTTGGATGAAAGACATTATAAACACTCCCAAACACCGAATTACAAGTGTTTTAGACACACTGAACATGAAAATGGTGTCCGTGACCTTTGTTTATGCCCTGAGGTCATCTTAGGTCACGAATGGTATCTAACAGTTTTTCGCAAATAACTTTTGATAGAGGCATGCTAGAGCGATGAAAACGCCTTAGATGTGTTCAGCTCGACGATACGGATCGACTGATATGCAACATGACCCTTTCCGGTCAGGTCATGACCTTGACCTGAGGTCAAATTTTCAAGTTGACCTTTCAAGGTCAAGTTATAGTTCATTCGATGCGTCTTGACGAGAGGAACACGATGCCGGTAAAAGTAAACTCGTACAGGGCTTGGGTCAAAAGTTATTGCAGAAAAACTGTTTTCGAAAAAATCGGCTATTTTTGCAGTTTTTGCCCCCTGCAGGCAAAACCGTTGACGCTAGGTCAAATCTGAGAGAATTACTCAGAAAGGGCGTTAATAGGGCTATCGAATGCGCTTTTCCGCGGCGCTGTAGCTCTATTGGTTCCCGAGTTATGCGTTGGCTTCTTGGAAATTTTCGCCATTCGACCTGGAAATCGGCGAAATTTTGCCTTCAATGACCTCTGGTGACCTGACCTTTGACCTGACCAAAAAATTGACCGAAGTGATTTCGTCATTATTTTTGACGCTCTTTCGAACGCCGCCTTCCGCGTATCGCTACGTGGCCCAGGAGCCGAGTTACAAGGGGGGGTGTTCAAACACCCCCCCCAGCAGGGCGTGGAAATCCAGGACCCCCAGCCGGGCGCGGGTTAAAAAAGGGGGAGCCGAACCATGTTGGGTCGGGTTGAACCCAGTTGGACCTGTGTCTTACACGCAATCATGGTCAGAGAAAACAGAGGCCAATTTTGGGTCAAATATTTTTATTAACCGATCTTACTGTTTTTTTAGCTTACACGTATAATAACTTTAAGCTTTTTTAATCGAGACTTCATGCACAAAAATGTGGCATTCGTCCGCTTTTCCTCATCTTCTCTCAGCGACTTGATTTGACCTTAAATCTTACCAGCAAAAAATAAATCACCTGCGTAATAATTATTAGCCCAAGGGCGCTCTACACAAGAAACGCCAGCCGGTCAAAAAAAAAAAAAAAAACTGGCGACGCCGCCAAATTTTGGGTACCTTATGGGGCAAATCTTGCGCATCTTTTGATAAAAAAAAATTTGACCGGGTCATGTCAGGTCACGGAGTTATGACGTCACAAAGGGAACAGCCTCCGGCCGGATTTTCACAAACTGAGTGCCAACGCCCGAGGTTTCCTGCCGGTGGTACGGACATCGGTTGATGGATCGTGATGAAACTTCCCATGCATGTTGGGGCAAGTATTGGCTATCATATGGTATAAGAAACTTGACCGGGTCAGGTCAGGTCACGGAGCTATGACGTCACAAGAGGAACAGCGTCCGGTACTATTTTTGAAAAGCGCCCGAACCACTATTTTGCTAATTCTTGTCACCTCAATGGGAATATGCAGCAATATTAGCTTCTATAGGGAGCAAATGGACATCCCAAATCCAAAAATACAATCAAATTTCAAAAATTTAAATTTTGATTTTTCGAATTTCTGCCGCCGACT